GTGATGCTGAAGAGCTAGGAGGTCACAGGGCTCAGTAACACAGGCCTGTAAGCCCAGTGGCTCAGGAGGCTGAGGCAGGAGAATAGCTAGTTCAAAGCCTGCCTTAGCAAAAGTGAGGCACTAAGCAATTCTGTGAGGCCCTGTCTCTAAATAAAAATATGAAATAGGGCTAGGGATGTGGTTCGGTGGTTGAGTGGCCCTGAGTTCAATCCCTGGTACCTCCCCCCACAAAAAAAAAAAAAAAAGAGAGAGAGCAAGGAGGTGATTACAGGAATAATGGAAGGAAGGGATAGTACTGGCTATATCTTTACCAATAGAAGGATGAGGGACCCGTGGGTTCTGATGCAAAAGTATCAGTAAATGTCGGTACAAGAATAAGGACAGTCTCTTCTCATTGACTATTTTATCTCAGTGAAATAAGATACAAGGCCATTAATAGACAGTGAGGAGGTGAGAGAGGTTTGGGCAGCCTGAGAGGAGAGCAGAAGGTGGAATAGTAACTGGGATGGCCAACCCATGCTGGGGCCAACTTCAGGTCATGGTCATAAATTGATGGTGTCATGCTTGTGTATTTTTCTCCAGCCAAAATCATTTGCTTAAGTAGAAGCTCAGGATAGGTAGAGAATATGATATAACATTGGAATTTTAACTGTCAATGAATAACACATCTTACCCCCTTGTACTCAGAATCAATTAAGAAATTGAAGCAAAAAAAAAGCAATCTTTATTATTATAAAATGGTCAGGATGTAGCTTCTGATATTCAGCCAATTCTTCACTCCAGACTCTTTCTGATGCTGGCAGGCACCTTCCTTCATGCAGAACAGGCCTGCCTTGCTCATCAGAAAACTCATTTTATCTCCAGAGGGGAGGAGATACTGAAGGTGGGGAGAAAGGCTGAAAGTCAGGAGAGCTCAGGGTTCTCAACCCTGGCTGCACATTGGGATTGCCTGGGAATCATTAAAAGAAACTGATGCTTAGGTACACTGCCAGGGATTCTGATTTAACTGGTTTGGGGTGCCATCTGGGCATCTGGAATTTTGAAAGTCCACCGTAGGTAATTCTAATGTGAGGCCAGGGTTTTCTCCTAATAATAAACATGGTTGGAATTTTCCAGATAAATATGACACAGGCAGAAAGGGACAAAGGAACAAAGAATGCTTTTTCAAAAGTCATTACATCGAGGTACCATGGAATTTAAAGAGACAAGTGAGGATATGAGAGAATTGACGGAATAGCAAAAGAACGTAGGGTCTAGGGATTGGTGGATGTTTTGGAAGCTTTCCAGAATTGTTGAAGTTGGGCTATAGAGGAAGGGCATTAGTAGGACAGGAGATTAATATCAGAGAATCAAATGATTGAATTTAAATTCTGAGATGTTAAAATGGCAAGTTCTAAGGTATGATGTTATCTTAGTCCATTTCCTGTTGTTATAATCAAATACCACAGACCAGGAAACTTATAAATAATAAAGATTTAGAGTCATGCATGGTGATGCACTCCTATAATCCCCCAAACTCCAAAGGTTAAGGCAGGATGATTGCAAGTTTAAGACCAGGCTTAGTAACTTAACAAGATCCTGAGCAACTTAGCAAGACCTTGCTCAGTGGTAAAACACCCCTGGGTTCACTCCCCAGTACCAAAAAAAAAAAAGATTATTCACCTCATGGTTTCACAAGTCCAAGATACCACATCTCATAAGAGCTTTTTTTTTTTTTTTTGCTAGAGGTGACTCTACAGAGTCCCAAATTGGTGTAAGGCATCACATGGCAAAACATAAGGTCCCAGCTCAGATTTCTCCTCTTTCTTCTTATAAAGCCACAAACCCATTGGATTAGGACCCCACTCTTACAGCCTCATATAACCTTAACTATCTCCAAAGTTCACACCTCCAAATACCAGGGTTGAATTGTTTTTACCCTTCTAAGACCTGACATTGGGGATCAAATTTCAACACGTGGAGGACATTCAAACCATCTCAAGTGTAGAATGAGATCACTAAAGAGAAAGAAGGTCATGGGCAAGAGAGAGTGATACACTGGATAAATCATCAATGTGAATATTAAAAAAAGCAAGAGTAATGACAGGAACCAGGATGGCCGTAGCATCTGGAGTCCAGAGAAGCAAGTCGAGCAAGTCTGAGGTTCACAGCAGCCTTGAGGTTCACCAGTGTCCTGGTTAGGTGGTCTATATTGGTACAACTTTCTGTGTCCTTTAACAGACAACCAATTCCTTCAACCATAGATCTGAGAGAGAGAGAGAGAGAGAGAGAGAGAGAGAGAGAGAGAAAGCCGAAAGAGATGACCCAAAATGTCATGTTTAGGTATAAAGAAAAAGCTTACAACTGTTTTCCAAATATGCTTGTATTTTGCATTTTCCATTGGTAAAAGTGAAGGAAAGACCAATATAATGTTTATAGGTCTTGGACATAAATCTTAAGAAAGTTCATTTTTCTCCCTCTTCCTTCTCCCATTTAGTGGATGGACAAACATGGAGCATGCCTTGCATGGGCTCCCTTTGAGCTTGAGCAGACCAGTTTGGTGGGTTCTATTCTTACTCTTTTACCATTGATGCATAACTATGCTGGAGTCAATCACTTTTCATTTGTCTTATTTTGCTAATTCCTCATCTCAGGACATGCCCCCCTTCTTCCAACTTTCCCTTCCCTTTTGCAATCTTCCAATTTGCTATGCAGCAATAATTTCCCTTTACACTGCTCCTGCCAATTGCAGTGCCAGATGGCTTTGGTTCTGAGCCCCCTCACCCAGCCCCCCTTGAGAACAGCTGCCATTGTCATTGCTGTGAACACGTCGTGGCTTTGAACCCATAGCGCAGGGACCCAAACTTGATGCTCGGCATTGGGAGGGGCTGGCACTAATGCAAGGAACCATGAAAACCGCACACACTTTTTCTTGCTGCTGTTCAGCAAAAGCCCTTAGAAAAGGCTCTTTAGCATTTTTTCAATCATCTGTGTATCGAAATCTCATTGTAGAGTTTAATTCCTTTATCACCTGACTCAGCTTCCTAGCCATGAAGTTCTCTTTTGTGCTTTAAACTCAGTTAGAATCCCGTATTTCCTATCCTGAAAGCAGATGTGAAAACACAACAACTGGGGGAGGGGGGTGTACGTGTGTGTGCACACCTGTGAGCACATGTGTACACCAGCCTGTGTGTTGGTGTGTTTGCATTTGTGAACCCATCTCTTTAGAAATCTAGCACATTCTCTTATCCACATCCAAATATTTGTGTTTAAAATTGATCACTCAACAAGAAAAAGAGTTTGGTGGCTTTCTGGACAATCTTTCCCTTAAGTCACCTTCTGAGGAAAGAGAAAGGAATAGAAATTCATGTTCGTTTTTTATCATGAGATGTACTCTGTTCATCCCAACACTTAAAATTCTGCTACTGTGACACAACTTTTTAAAAAATCATAATTTTGAGTCCTCTGAAATGGCAGGTTGGTGGTGGGCCTAAAGACCCAAACAAAAAACCCTGAATCGAATTCTGTGTGGACAAATATGCATTTCAAAGACACTGCCCATGTAGTCAGTGGGTTAGGGTTTTTGTGTTGTTTTCTTTTTCATTCTCTTTTGGGGCTGGGGGAGGGTGAGGGGCTCCCTTTCATGTTAATCTAATTGTGCACAACCCAGGCACATTTTGCCATGTAGGGAGACTTTCTTTTTAGTGTCCCTTCCCTACCACACACCCTGGCCTCTTTCATTTCTCCCCTTCTGAGGTCAGAGTGCTCCCCGGGGCTGTACATTTCGGGGAGATTCCCAGAATGGTGATGTATTCTGTGTTGCTGCCGAGGAATTTACTATCCCCTCACTTGGCAGCAAATGAAAGTGGGTATTAATTTCTCAGAGTGGCCGGTGGAAACACGGGAGAGAGGCCGCAAGAATGATGCTCACCTAAATCTGTATGTAGCACACAGCATGCGGCCAGTTTCAAAAGAGAGACAGCCAAGAGAATGAAAGGAAAGAAAAGATTCTCCTGAGTTGACTTCTCTGCATTTTGCATGGTTAGGTTTTGGAGAGAGATACGAGAGGTTTGGGCCCTGAACTGGAGTTAAATTATGCAGCTGCGGAGATGCCAGGTCCTCCAGAATAGGATGCTTCGTTTAGATTTTCCACAATGCTATTGAAGTGCTTATTTTCCTCCTGAAGAGACACAAACAGATGCAAACTTCTGTAAACACTTTAGAAATGAATTCAGTGAGTTTGGCCTCTCAGCAGTGCTCAATAGCTGACAGAAAAATGTCTAATTAGTGCAAGTGGAAATAATAGGGCCACTTGGATTCCTTCCATCCTCCTCCAAGTCTACTTTTCCAAGGAACTCAAAGGCCCTTTTGTTTGGCGGGTCACCCTCTCTCAGGCTTTTGTGCTCCGATCTATTAAGAGTAGAAGGGGGAAAAATAGATTAGGCAATGTTCTGTGCTCAAATATATGGCGTGTTCATGCGGGGTGCAGAATAGCGTGTTTGCAGCCTCAGTTTACAGGTGCCTGGGGAGGGATTCCTGCGTTGGCAACAGCCAAAAGCAGCGCACACGTGCGTGCTGAGAGGGCTGCTTCCCTTTGAAGAGCAGCTTCCCTCCACCAAGGGCCATGGAGTGTGCTCGTTTCCCTTTTTCTTTCTCAGTTTCCGGGAACCTCAGTCCTCAGAGTTGGTGAAGGGGAAAAAAAAAAGAGATTAAAAGAAGTTAGAGGTTCCCCCATTTTCTGAGATAAGCCTTATGGATGTGACCTGCATTATCATTTCTGTTTCGCTCAATTGAAAATTCCACTGAAACTTTTTTGGGGGAAGCCTGGCTTTGCCTATGGATATTTTTGTCATACAAGAAAGAGGGAATGAGTGACTGATTGCTTTTTTCTATTTTTTTCCCATCATACTCCATGTCATTTATTAAGCATTCAATCTGTCCAACTCTGTGCTGAGCACTGGACCCAAATAGCCTCTAATCTTGAAACAGCACCACAAATAAATATTATCCACATTTCACAGATGATGTCATCGAGACTAGAGATGTCAAGTGACCTGGCATGGGAAGAAATTAGTGAAGCTGGGAAACAAACCCAGGTATCGCTGATGTTATCTCAGATCTTATATATGTTTTTAATCTCTGGAAGTTTTATATCTTCCATATCTATACTTCATATACATAATTTCTATTCTACCTCATAGAACATGTACAATAAAGTTATAACTGTCATTTGGGGTCACTTTATATAGATTATTTATCTGTGCAATATGGGCTTCTTTCCTGATTGTTTTTGGGACTTTTGTTTGTTTGTTGTAACAGAGATTGAACCCAGGGGCACTTAACCACTGAGCCACGTCCCAGACCTTTTTTTAATATTTATCTAGAGACAGAGTCTCACTGAATTGCTTAGTACCTCACTGAAGCTGTCTTTGAACTTGTGATCCCCCTGCCTCAGCTCCCCAAGCCCAGCTTGATGGGTAATTTTTGATTCTATGACAGATATTGTAGATTTTGTCTTATTGTATAACAGATATTTGTGTGCCTTTGAATATTCTTGAGTTTGTTCTGGGACTCAGTCAAGTTAGCAAATAATTTGATCCCTTGCTTCTAAACTTACAGAGTTGGATAAATCTGAGGCTAATTTTGAGTCACTACTGAGGCAATTCCTTCCTTAGCACTTGAATGATGAGATTTTCTGTTGTGGCCTGTGGAAACACAAGCTCCCAGAGGCCTGAGGACTGTTTCCCCTGGACCTTTCAGATAATTCTTTCCCCAGTCTTGTGTGTTTCTTCATGCATGAGCTCACCTGTATTTGGCTAAAGACTCAGCCGGGGGACCCTCTGCAGAGCTCTGAATTTCTTGTTTTGTGCAGCTCTTTTCCTCTGATACTCTGCTGTGTGAACTCCACCTTGGCCTCTCCATTGGTGAACTCCACCTTGGTCTCTCCATTTTCTCATTTCAGGGAGACCACCCCACAGAGGGTACCCTGGACTAACACTGCTTCCTTTTAACTCCATGGGAGGAGAGACCAACTGGAGGAACTCCCCACTAATCACCAAATCATCATTTGCTCTCATGGCACTAACTTTTTTTTATTATGTTTTTAATACCTTTAATTAACTTATTTTTATGTGGTGCTGAGGATCAAACCCAGTATCTCACATGTGCTAGGCAAGTGCTCTAACCTAGCACATGACTAACTTTTACTAGAGAATTTCAAAGCATTGAAATTAAGGCCTCTCCTGGGAAATTTTCTTTCCTTTCTCTTAGCTTTAAATACATAACAAAAACACTCTTTTCATTGGAAGTTATTTTTCTATTTCTTCTTTTTCTGTCTTTCTTAGAATTTTCCTATCATAGTGAAGGATATGAGGTCCCAAAAGCTACTATTTAGACTCAGTAGTGGATTCAACCCAAAGACCCACTATGTCACAATTAGGCACTGCTCCAAATTACCTTGATCAACCACAGAGGAGAAGCAGAAGATGAAGTGAACCTCAAGAGACTTTTATTCCTTAAGTTTGGGCAAAGATGTGGAAAAAATGGAACTGTTGATGGGATTGTAAAATGGTGCAACCTCTATGGAGAACAGTATGGCGGTCCTCCAAAAATTAAAAATAAAGCTCACATGAGCCAGAAATCCCACTTCTGGGTATATATCCAAAAGAACTGAAAGCATTTCAAAGAGATATTTGCACATCTATATTTGTGGCAGCACATTCACAAGAGCTGATGGTCACCTAAGTGTCCATCGATAGATGAATGGATAAACCAACTGTGGTATACACATACAATAGACTAATAGTCACCTTAAAAAGGGAGGAAATTCTGTCACCTCATACAATATGAATGAACCCTGAAGGTCTCATGCTACATGAAGTAACCCAGTCACAAACAGACCAGTGCAGTATGATTCCACTTATATGAGGTACTTAAAGTAATCAAATGCATAAAAACAGAAAGTAGAATGGTGGTTGCCAGAATTTGGGGGTACAGGAGCTGTTTACTAGAAATAGAGTTTCAAATTTGCAAGGTGAAAAAATCCAGGAGACCTCTACCACAGCAATATAAATATGTTTAATACTACTGAGCTGTACACTTTAAAATGATTAAGACAATAAATTTTATGTTTTTACCACAGTACTATATATACTTACTTATATATACATGCATACATAATGAAAGAGAGAAACTTGAATTCTTGCCTGACTCTCACCCTTTTAATTTTGTATCTTTGAGAAGCCAGTTAGCCTCTCAGCCTGTTTCCTTTTCTTATTTAGACTTTAGGGTTACAGTAGGAATCAAACAAGCTCATGCTTATGAACATTTTTCATAAATTCGATGGTGCTACAAAGATGGAAACCATTATAATGAGGCAAGAGTCACTTCTGGAGAATAGCCTGCCTTGGAACATCTCATCCCAGTGGTAACTGCATCTACCTCAGGTGGAAGAGAGGCCCCAATGAGAAGGAGAGCAGGTCAAGCACCAAAGTGCAACATCAAAGAGAAGGCCCTCATTGGCTCGCTGAGTGCCATCCAACGTACACAGCCATGAGCAGAGCGAGAGGAATGGAGTTGCTCTTTTTAAGCAACCGTATAAGAGGGGCCGGCAGTGGAAGAAACTTCAAGTTCTATGGATAGTAAGCCTAAGTTGTTTACTTCAAGTTCTATAGATAGTTTGCCTGAGTTGCAAACCAAATGAATATACTTATGTAGTGCCCCATAGGTAGGACTCTTACTAAGAGACTGGCCTTCTTAGACAGAGCTGGGCACATGTACTACCAACAATTTGCTTTTCCACTTTTGAGTTCACATTTTATGAATGTCAAATGACTGATATTCATCATGAAACTGCATTTTCAGATTAATGATTTGTTTGACAAAACTCAATAGAAGTTTGAAGTATTTTAATTTTAATTAGGCTATATTTAGCTGGAAGGAAGAGAAGCTCAATCAGGTAGACTCATAAAAGGGGTGTACATTATCATGAAAGTAAATTTGGGACAGTACCGGAGACACATGACTCTAAGAATGCACCCAGGGAAGGTAGAGTTTGCTGTGGAGCCATTATTTTTTGATTTTCCTTCATATTGCCCATAAATGTGGCTCAGCCACACTCCACTTTCTATTTCTTTCTATCTTGCAATAACAAGCAAATTCTTTCTACATCTGTTAGTCAATTTTTTATTGTTGAAACCAAAATACCCCAAAATAACAACTGAGCGAAGGAAAAACTTATTTGGATTTATATAATTTCAGCCGTTCCGTTCATGGTCAGTCAGATCCATTGAACATAGCAAAAGAGCATGATGGAGGAAAGCTACTCAGCTCATGACAGACAAGAAGCAGAGAGTGAGAGGAGCTGGGAAAAAAATATATGATCCCATAGGCTCACCCTAACCCACCTCCTCCAGCCATGCCCCACCTGCCTACAGTTACCACACAGTAATCCATTCAAATTATTTATCCAATAAGTGGATGAATCCATTGTTTAAGGTAGTCTCTCATGACCTAATCATTTCATCTCCTCCATTAACACAGAATCTTTGAAGGATACCTCATACCCAAACCATAACCATGTCTTAGTTCAGATTGATAGGTTCCTTTTTTTCAAGCCAAGCCACAGAGTCATGGAGCCAGGTTTGAGAAGGCAAGGGGTAGAGAGAAGGTGTCAAGGCGAAGTGGCAAAATACATGGCTGCTTCAAAGACAGGGGCTGTGGGTTACTGTGTGCCTTAGAAAGGCAAGGATCTTGGGAGAGGGTCCAATGAATAAAGCTCTTTATTTCCCTAATCTGAACAGACTGGGAAATAAAACAGATAGGTAGACAAAAGATCAAATATTATCTTTAACTCTGATAACGAGTAAGTTGAATGATAAACCTTCATATTAGAACATAGCTGACCCCAGAAGTATGCAGACTTCCTTCTATATCCAGTCACAGTAATTTCTGGGCCAAACAGAACATCTCATATAAGATGGCTTTCTAGATAAAACTTAGAGAGACTGGGTTGTAGCTCAGTGGTAGATCACTTGCCTTGCATGCTTGAGGCATTGGATTCGAAACTCGGCACCACATAAAAATAAATAAATAAGGATATTGTATCCATCTACAACTAAAAATATACATATATAAAAACTTAGAGAAGAGCAGAAAAGAATCCCTGTTTTATTAACACAGTGTTCCCAAGAGGAAAAGGGAGGAGTGAAGCCATGCATGCCCAGCTTATTCTTCTCAGTACGATTAGTCACTCCTCCTCCTGTGTGGTGGAGTGGGTAGTAGAGTAGAGAGGCCAGGGGTGCTACAGTAATCCAGCCCCCTTTACATGGAAGGGAGCATCAAGAGGAGAGAAGGGATATCCTCCTTAACAATTGGCATCTCCAGCACAATAAGAACATGTATTGGCTTAGAACCACAAGATAGATTCAATACCTAATAAACACATTGATGGTTTAAAAATCTAAACAAGTTAAGACATTATCTCTTTGAAACAAGAAGGCTTATTGTGCTGGTTATCAATAGGCGTTACCTGATTAATGAAAATGCCCACAAAGATAAATGTTATATTCTACATGCAGTATATGGATCATTAGGTAGAAAAGCATAAACTAGAAATCAAATTATATGAACAAATACCATAGGTAGAATACAGAATGGGCCAGATGTGAAAGTTGAGGCCAGTTTTACTTAGAGATATGCTGATTATTTTAGTCAGCTTTCTAACACTGTAATGAAATACCCAAGATAACTAACTTATGAAGAGAAAAAAATGTTATTTTGGCTAACAGTTTTGGAGGTTCCAGTCTAAGATTGAGCAGGCCCATTGCTTTGGGCCTCTGGTGGGCATGTTGGATGGCAAAGGTGCAGAGCTCATGGTGAAGCACAACAGTTCACCTCATGACTGGAAAGCAAAAGGAGGAAGACAAGGTTGGGGTCTACAATTCCCTTCAAGAGCATTTCCCCAATTACCTGAGAATCTCCCACAAAGTGTCACCTCCTAAAAGTCCCCCTACTCCCAATGGTACCACTCTGGGGTACCATTGAACACATAGCCTTTTAGATCATTCAGCCTCCAAACTAGAGCATGAATTATTAAAACTCTAAAAGAACTGTACCCAATATATTTCAAGAAGAAGAGACTACTCTCTCCCAATGGGAATGAATACATTCTTTCTTATTTTGATAAGAGGAATATTCCAAGATGTCCTAAATTTAATTACGAGGGCTAGAGGACAGAAGGGAAGAGAGATGGAGGAGGTTGGTCAGTCAACATCTACAGGCTGAAAAGAACAAAAGACCATCTTGTATTCCTGAATGTACATTAAAACCTTAAATCAAATCCCATCACAACCCCTTCGGTGCTACAGTGGCTTACTTACAACCCCAACCAATCCAGAAGCAGCAGCTGCTTCTCCTTATGGACAGCATTCCTATCCCGGAACTTTCCCCACTTTGCTTTGTCCCATCCCTCTCATCTATAACCAGTGTGGGCTCAATGGAAACAGCTCGTGTCTTTCCACCTCAGATTTTCATTATAAAAAATAGTCTTAGCTCTGGTCCAACAAACATTTTCCAATAGCCACCTAGAATTGCTGCTAGAAGTGACAGGAGCTTGTCCCAGACCAGGTCCTCTTAAGCATCTATAATGGCTCATTAAACCTTCTATTTCAGAGACTCCCTCCTTCTCAAGAGTTTGTGTATAACACTTACAGTTTTTTTAATTAAGCCATGCTTAGACCAACAACTGCAATATTGACTGCACTCACTGTAACATCACTTAGTGTCCGATAATTGATGTCTAACTCCTGCAGCTTTCCTAATGCAAAGTGGGCACAGCAAGGCTTGTGAGCAGGGTAGATCTGAACCTGGCCCTCATGCTTGCACCTACATCCTGTCATGTGACCTTGGGCATGTTTCTTAACCTCTCTGAGTCTCTACAAATGGAGGTAATAACAGAACTTGCCTCGGGATTGCTGTGAGAACTGAGGGAATTAGTGAATATAAAGCACTAAAACGAGGTACACTGTGCTGTGTACCTAGTTTTGCCAGACAAGTTGAGTACTTGTGATTACAGGTGAAGAAAGCAGGGACTAGTACAGAAGTGCTGTAGTAGGAAAATGCTTGCAGGGCAGAGTAGACTTCATCTGTAGACAAACATGCTTAGAAAACACTCAGTTTGGCTTAGTTTAGCAGATGAAGGAAATCGTACTGGGGGACAGGCTCATTCATGCAGTTAGTTGTATGCCCACTGAATCAAAGACCTTGAGTACAACACACGGACAGATGATGTTTGTCCACAGAAGTTTGCCTCATTTATTCTTATTTCTTATTCACTTATACTTTCATTTCATGCCTATTTTCTTCCTTTTCTTATTGTGTTTATTAACTATATGTATAAAATGATAATATAAATTAAATTAGAATTGTCACCCAAAGTTCTGTGTTTCTTCTGAATTAATGTGTATGCAATAAATGAAGCAGGGTGTTATGAACTGAGTGGAAAGTTCTCCCAGATGTAATGATGACTGAAAGAAGAAAATGCAGAGTAACATGTTGCGTGTGATCTCATTTATGAGAGAGAGACAGAGAGGAAGAAAGGGAAAGAGAAAGCCAGCCCCCCCCCCAAAAAAAAAAGACTCAATTAGTGTCTGAGATTACATCAAAGGGTGCAAGAAATTCTGGAAGAATCTCTCACAAATCCTTATGGGGAAAGTGGGAACAAGATCAGGGGAAGGATGGGATAAGGTTCAGGGAAACTATGGGCTACATTTTGTTGTTGTTTGTTTTTAATTGTAGATGGACATATATCTTTATTTTATTTATTTATTTTTTTTACATGGTGCTGAGGATCCAACCCATGGCCTCACACATGCCAGGCCAGTGCTCCACCACTGAGCCACAATCTCTATTTTTAATTTTTACCCTAGATATATACCTATTGTTTGAATTTTTAACAACAGGAAATACGCATTTAGCACTTGGAACAGTTTGAGAAATATAGTGGGGGAAATGGAATGAACAAAATATATTCTTTCAAATGAATTGAATTTTCCTTATTTTTTCTTCTGTGATTTAGTTATCGAATACAATGTACTCCTAGATATCAGTTTGATGGTTATTGTTTGAATGAAAATGTCCCAAAGGTCAAGTCTGGGGCTAAGCCTGCCATCTTTGTCCGCGGGCTGCTGTGCCATCGGGTCCATTGGGTTCCCTGGCTGTTCCCGCAGGTGTCCTTGCGAGCCTCCATCGTCGCTCAGGACTGTGCCGCCGCGGCCGCTCTGGTCTTCTTGATGGACCGCTTCCTGTACGGGCTAGACGTCTCCGGGAAGCTCCTGCAGGTGGCCAAAGGTCTCCACAAGTTGCAACCAGGGACGCCAATCGCCCCGCAGGTGGTTATCCGTCAAGCCCGGATCTCGGTCAACTCAGGTGGGTTCTCTCCCGCGGACCCGGCTGCTCGTCCGTGCGGGCGTCGCCTGGTACTTACTCAGCTGCTCTTCGCTGCGACTCTCGGCCAGCCCCGCGCGCAGCCCGCGGGCATCCGCCCTGCGTGCCACCTCTCCGCGCCGCCCCGCCCCGCGCCTGCCCTTCCACCCGCCTCTTTGCCAGCACAAAAGCCCTGGCATAAAGGGTTTCAGAGCCAAAAGCAGTAGAGAAAATTGTGAAAGGGTGTGGAAAATACTAATTGGAGCTTTTGTCTTCTAACAAATCTGTCCTGCTGCTTTCAAACAGGGGTATCTGAATCGCTATACTTCGGACCAAGAGCCTTTAAAAAGCAGATTAGAATTCTACTATTTTCTCTTAGCGCTCCTGTCTCCTTTCTGTAGGGCCACTTGACTAAGCTGACAATGGACCTGACAAACCCACTGAAGCAATTTGAGGGTTTTTTTCATCATTCAGAACACCGGTACAGTACCTGATTAGGTCTGAAAGTATCTTTTTTTCCCCCCTGTCACTTTGAATGAAATGAAAAAATGAGGCTGACAGTCCAACTTAAGATGTGGAGCGGAGGGGGGAGTGAGAGGGGAGGGGGCCCTGCTATGTGTTACAGCATAGTCCATTTCCAGGGAATTCTTGAATTATTTAAACTACTGATAACCATTCCACTTAGGAAGTGGAATGCTATTCTCATTTCCAAATCTGAAAGACTGAAGCATGAAAAGAAGACAGGTTGTCCCTTCCAGAACAGGACTGGTTCCTTTATGATTGGTTTTACAATTTATTTAAAAAAAAAAAAAAAAACCTCTGGTCTGTTAGAGGTTAAAATCTCTTTAACTACTTCATTTCCTTTGAAAGGGAACTGTAGTAATCAAACTAAGTAGGACAATCACTGAATGCCAAAGCGACAGATAAAAGGACATGGGAGAAATGGGTTTGTGGAGGTTACCTTTTCAAAAGCTCAAGTTCACTCACTTTCAAGTTCTGGCAACTGTGCATTAATTGAGCCCCGCCCCCCCCCCATCTTATTATTGACTTTTCTAGAGTAACTGTAGGGATAAAGTTGAACTTAGGAAAAATGTCTTCTTTCAGTTGTCCCTGATAACATTTATAATGTTTGAAGCTTGAGGGGAATCAAACAATTAGTGTTCCCTCTGGTAGTGTCAGATGACAGTGACATAAGCAGAGCATTCTCTGGGGAACAGAATGATTAGGCCTGGCATGTGCCACCAGGCTTGCAAGGTGAGTTCCATCAAAAAGAACTTGAAATAGGGCTGGGGTTGTGGCTCAGTAGTAGAGCACTTGCCTAGGATGCGTGAGGCACTGGGTTCAATTCTCAGCACCAAATATAAATAAGTAAATAAAATAAAGGTCCATCAACAACTAATAATTAAAAAATAACTTGAAATAGAATTACATCACATATTTACATATTTTGCAATATACAGAGCTGCTATGATGTGGCATGGAAATCCAAATCAAATGATAAGTGGGTATGTTTATAGTTTTGCTTTCACACAGCCACACTAAGTTGCTAAGTTTTCTTTTGTTGTTGTTGCTTTTTGTTTTGTTTTTGTTTTTGTTATTTCTCTCATATCTCTAACCAAGATGGTATAGTGGTTTTCTCCTGATAATGGACAAGCCTTGATAGCATCATGAATGGTACGCTTTTCTGCTCACATTGTCATGTGCCTAAGATGAAAGTCCTGGATCTTATTCCCCAATAATTGGGGTTGGCTTTTCATCAAAGACACTTCCAAAAGTGTCACAAGAAGAAAAACTCAGCCTCAGAGTTAAGTCTTCCTTCTAAACTTCTGCCCCAAAATATCACTGAAGTCTCCACCTATACTGCATGTATGTAGGGATGGGGAGCTGGATTAGGGCTTGAGTGTAGAAAGGGTAAGGATGTGTAGGGGTAAAGGAAGAAGGTAAAGCAAAGAGGGAGAAAGATGCTCAATCCCAGCCTTTGGGAATCTTGGAGTAGATAAATGAGAGGGATATTGCATTACAAGGAGTAAGAAGATCAATAAAGGTGATAGGAGAGGACAGCAGTCTTCCTATGAGCCCCTTTGATCCAGCCCTTCCTGATATCCTCTCCGCACAAGTAACCAAGACAGCAACATAATGGGAGGTCAGAGTCAAGAGAAGACTCCCTGGGCCTGCCCAGCTCACTCTCACCTGAAATTAGGAGACAACCCTTTTAAATCACAGTGAGAAACAAAGGCTCAGACTTTCAATTCCATGAACATGAGCAGGTGCCAAGTCTTCTCCCACTACAAATACATAAATGATATATGTATATTGAAGATATATATATATATATATAGAAATATATATATATATATATATATATATATATATTTTATACCAGGAATTAACCACTGATTCACATCCCTGGTCCTTTTTATTTTTTATTTTAAGACAGGATTTCACTAAGTTGCTTAGGGCCTTTACAAGTTGCTGAGGCTGGCCTCGAACCTGCTGTCCTCCTCACTTGGTCTCTCTCTCGAGTCACTGGGATTACAGGCATGTGCTATCCTACCCAGTAGGTGAAGATATTTTTTAAGTACCTGACCAAAGGTGTTCAAAATCAAAGCAGTAGACTACTGCAGGTGATACTTGTAGCCATAGGGGTTTGCAATTGGATATAGTCCTAAGGGAAGAGACTGTCATTTTAATCCCCATGCAGAGACATGAGGCAGGGTGCCTTGGGCCCACATGAGGTGTGAAATACTTGCATAAAGCTGGAATTCTTAAATGATTGCATAGGTCATGAAAGGGGACCCAGATAGGAAACAAAACAAAAAAGCCTCCTAAAATAAAGAAAAATTTCAAGTCTATGCCAAATGTCAGTGTGGAGTATGAATTTACCTTTATCACAAGGCAAGAAATCCCCCACCAAATAATTAATTCTAAAAAAAGATTTAAGCCTGAAATTTCTGGGGCTCAGGGGAAAATCAAGTATAAACTATGCTCTGGAGAAACATCCTCACTCTTGGGTGTAGGAATCCCATTGGAAGATATTCTTGGCAGAGCAGGGCACTGTGGTGCATGTCTGTAATCCCAGCATTTTGGGAGGCTGAGACAGGAAGAAGACAAGTTCAAAGCCAGCCTCAGCAAAAGCGAGGTGCTAAGCAACTCAATGAGACCCCACCTCTAAATAAAATTCAAAATAGGGCTAAGGAAGTGGTTCAGTGGTCAAGTGTACCTGAGATCAATCCCCAGTACCAAAATATATATATATTTTTTGACCAAAGATGATCTTATATTAAATATTTTATAATTATATTATTATATTTAATATTTTAATAAGCAAAGAAAGAAACAAAACACGAGAGCAGCATCTTATCCTACACACAATGAAAGTGGGCTGCAACATTAAGGAAAGTACCTGCAGAACAACTTGACAGACTCATGGAGCTTTAAAAAATAGTATATTTAAAAGACTAAAACACAAAAGAAAAATAAATGAATTTATTCATGTGAAAAAGAACTGAACAGAACTTTCAGAAATTAAAAATACAATTGAAATTGCAAATTGAATTTATAATTGAAATTACAAATCAATGTGTTTCTCAGAAAACAATGGTCATGGATGAGGAATTATCCCCATAATGAGAAAGCATACAAGTTGTTGATGATGTTGTTGTTGTTGTTATTGTTGTTGTTGTTGTTATTATTATTTTGGAGATACAAGATACTAGAATTTATTTGCAAAACTATGGATAGAGACAGCCAGAAAACCCAACAGTTATCTCACTGGGTAGGAAAAGCTTCCAGCATTACCAGTACTAAAAAAATAATTGCTTCATTAGGGTGAATACAATAAAATAACTCATTAGAAAAATGAATTAAAAAGATATTAAAATGCTGCTTTGAAGTATTTATTAGTGGCTTCAAACATTATAAAATTATCTTGATAAATGACTGTAAACATTTCTCAATGCTCACTGTCAGTTTTTCATTTAATCTCATCTCAGGCCATTAACAAAAAGGCACCTTGAGGAGCTCTCTGGAGTGGTGCTTCCCAATTTCCATGGGTCTGTGAATCCCCTGGCAATCTGACTAAAAGTCAGATTCTGATTCCTAGGTGTGGAGGAGGCATATAGACTGCATTTCTAGCCAGCTCTATGACCTGGCTGCTGCTGTTCGGACTTCACTTGAGTAGCAAGGGACCAGCTAAAGAGTCTAACAACGTGCCTGCCTGCCCACCTGGTACATATGACTGGCAACAACCCAAAGATCAGCACAAGTTTCCTGGGGCCTATCTCATAGGTGTGCAGTTCCCTACTGACCTACCTGAAAAGTATTGCTGCAACATATTTAAGAGCAGGAGAGAAGATCATGGGACTGGAAATTGTATTTGAAGAAAATATTGAGGCCAGGCACAGTGGTGCATGCCTGCAGCCCCAGCTGCTCAAAAAACTGAGGGAGCAGGATAAAAAGTTCAAGGTCAGCCTCAGCAACTTAGCAAGACCCTGTCTCAAAATTTAATCTTGTTTTAAAAAGTCTAGGGATGCAGCTCAGTAGTAGAGTACCCATGAGTTCAATCACCAATAACATGAAAAATAAACAAATGCCTGAGAGTAAAGCAGAGTTAAGCAGATGAGTGAGTATATAAAAGAAATTTTAAAAGTTCAAATAGAATGAGGATACACTTTTAAGACTTCTAGGAAGAACAAATAGATTTAGAACTGGAGAAAACCATAATTCTTTACGTTAAAGAAATATATCTAGCCTTGAGGAAAAAAAAGACCCACATTTAAAAAAAAAATCTATACCTGGACACTGTGGAAAAACTACAGAAAATCAAACAATAAGAAAATCTTAAAGGAAAAAGAGAAAAGACAGATTTTAGATTATTAATAATAATAAAGATTTTGTTGGTAATAACAGTCCAGAAAGCAATAGAATCTACATAAAATTAAGAGGAAATGACTTTCCACCTAGAATTTTATACCCAGCAAAAACATCATTCAGAACTGAGGATAAAATAGACATTTTCAGACACAACTAAAAACATTTATTACTCTGAGACATTGTGCTCTGTTGTAAACATACACACACACACACAGAGGATGCATTTTTGTAAGGAGGAAATTAAATCTAGAAGATGGACCTTCTAAGGCACAGATCAAACAAGGTACATTGTGTCACTTCTGCCATATACATTGGTCATAAAACAGGTCATAGTGCCAGTTCATGTTCAAGGACAGGGGAAGTAAAATCTAGATTGCATTCCTTAATGAAGGCCATGCTGCAAAAAAGCTGTGGATAGAGGCTACTGTTGGGACCTTCTTTGGAAACACAATCTACTCCAGGCAGGGTGTATGTCTGTGTGTGCAATTTGAAATTGTGTGGGCAGGAACAGCCCACACAATTGGGAGACAGTGAGATTTGTTCAAAGACCTGAAGAGATATTTGGGATCATGGCATTCCAGGCTGAAATAATTGTAAGTATGAAGACTATGATGGGGAGGACAAGCCTGGCTGGCTCCGGGGACAGTAAGGAGTAGTACTGAAGTAGAGGGAATGAGAGGGAGGGGCCAGGTCACCTGGGGTTTAGAGCTACCTGGAAGAAAGGAGGGTAAAGGGTAATTGACTGAGATTCCTACTTATGGAAAACAGCTGTTTATAGACAAGGCCCCTCCCTAGTGGTGGCAACCAAAATAAGTCAAAAGCTTTTAAAAACCCCAAACTTCCCCACTCTTGCACAAAAATCCCTTTGTGATAAATCTGTAAATAGTCCTGTTCATGAGCAATTCTATCAGATACAGTGTTCATAGAGAGGAGCACACACTTTTACAAAGGTTTGCCTCTACTACTTAAGCCCCCCTCTAAAGGAATATATATATATATATATATATATATATATATATATATATATAGACATGTATGCATATATATGAGAAATTCCATATATATAACAATAGTCTCTCTAAATGTGTGTGTATATACAAAGTGGAATGAAATGCCAATTATATTTGTTTATATACATATAATCATACATACATTCACATGCATATATATATATATATATATATGAATCTAATTACCATTTCAGATACTCTGTAATCACCCATCTTACCAATTTTTGAAAACTTCAGCTTTCTTTTTCAGTTTTATATATGAAACAGTTATTGTTTTTAAGTTTTAAAATAGAATATTTTCCAGAAAGGCGATGTTCTCTGTTACAATGCATCAACTTTAGAGCATTTGTAGTATTTAAGTACATGTTCAGAACTAACTGTGTAGCATTTGGTTTCTTCCTTTCAGGGAAACTTTTAAAAGCAGAGTATATCCTGAGCAGTCTAATAAGCAACAATGGAGCAACAGGTACGTACTGTCATGTTTCCCCAGGACTCTTACCATCAGACCCTATGAGAGTTCTAGTTTAATAACAACTTACTGACCTTAATGTTTGACCCCACAGGAGCTTAACTACTGAGGCACATTCCCAGCCTTTTTTATTTTTTATTTTGAGACAGGATCTTACTGTTTTTTAAGGCCTCGAGAAGTTACTGAGACTGTCTTTAAACTTGGGATCCTTTGCCTCAGCCTTCAGAGTTGCTGGGATTACAAGCATGTACCACTGCACTCAGATTTCAGATCCCATCCATCCTCATCTCCTTTTGCCCCACACCAGAGAGGTTGAATTTTTTTAAAGGGCTACTCATCCATACACCACAGCCTGACTTGTCCAAACCTTAGCTGTGTCACTAGTTCCTGTGGAGCCTTGTGGTTTGGACTTATTCTAGAGACAACACTGTCTCTCAAATCTGTGTCATAGTGCCCATGAAGGCTTCTGGGGAAATATGTTTATTTAGCCAGGCACCAGAGAACATGCCTGTAATCCCAGCAATTTGGGAGGCTGAGGCAGGAGGATCATAAATTCAATACCAGCCTCAGCAACTTAGGGAAGCCCTAAAATAAAAAAATAAAAAGGACTGGGGATGAAGCTCAATGGCAAAGTGCCCAGGGGTTCAATTCCTAGTACCAAAAAAAGAAAAGAAAATAGGTTTATTTCAGCAGGCCGTTTTCTTAATAAACCCAGGAAATTTTTTTCCTTCTTATATTTTAGGTACCTGGATATACAGAAATGAAAGTGATAAGATCCTGGTACAGTCAGTCTGTATACAGATCAGAGGACAAATTCTGCAAAAACTAGGTATGGCATTCCTCTCAAGGCTGATTTACAAAGTCTGGCTACAAGATTTTGCTGTGGAATTTTCTTATTATATATGGCTAAAATGTTGATCCCCACTTCCCTGAGTTTACTCATTGAAAAGATTATGACATTTCAAATCTCAGGAGCTGAGCTGGTGGTGGTGGCACAAGCCTGCTGTCACAGCTCCTTGAGTGACCAAAGCAGGAAGATCATCTGAGCCCAAGAATTCTAGACCAGCCCAGACAGCATAGCAAGACCCTCAGCTAAATAATAACAATAATAATAATAATAAAACCTGGAAGTGTTAAGAATATTAATAAAATAAAATATTTTTATTGATTTTGTTAGAGAAATTTACAGTTGTATATTATACCTGTTAGTGACCAACTTCTCAGTATTATTCCTAGCCTCTGACTCAGTTCAGCGGACTTGGTATATATAATTACACATCGTCTCAAACCCTCTGTAACACCTTATTTGTTTAGTCTTTGGGGCAGTCATGAATTTTTTCAAGTAAAGTTTATGGACCCTAATTATATTTTAACATGCAATTTTAAAGTTAAAAATTTGAAAAAAAAATTAAGAGAAGATAATAATTAGTATTATTGTAAGTCAAGGAAAAAACTATATGTAACATGTATGAATATTAACATTTTATATTCAAAATATATATATAAGAAAATGGGAAAGTTTTCTATATTAAATCAACTGAAAAGACAAATTGTTGTGTCAACCTAATCTAGCCCTGAGTTTTCCCAACAGAACCTGACGAATCTTCTTTCTGTATTAGTTTTTAAAGGTATCTTCTAACACCAGAGCACAGGTATAAGCTGCTTCTCCCTGTTCCTTCTTTTTCTTTTTCAGGCATGTGGTATGAAGCAGCAGAGCTAATATGGGCCTCCATCGTAGGATATGTGACACTTCCTCAGCCAGATAAGAAGGTCCTTTGTCTCATGTTCTTTTTCTTCTTTCTCATAATTTGTCTTTGGATGATTATGTCCTTATTTTCCATTTAGCGATTCTATCTGTGTTGTTTGTATTTAGTCTATATGAGCACAAGACCAGAAAATTTAGTAACTTGCACCTGTATCTTGCTCTGTCCTTCCTCACAGTGAGCTCTTGGCATATATTTAGTGTCTCTGTAATAATTTATAACCATCGGTTTATTTCTCTCTCCTGGTCCATTCATCTGTTATTGTGCATTTAGCCTTTACTTGATTCCATAGCAAAGTTCAGCTGGAAGTTTGCTGGGGCCCCTTTGGCTGTGGCTCTCAACACCCATGCCCAAGCTGCTTATATGTAAAATCATTCTTTGAGTTAAGTGGGCACAGACTTCAATGAATTGTTTATGTAGCATCTTTAAGAAGTTAAGATACATTCTTTGCTCTCCGATTTGACCTTTTCATTTTCAATAATTTGGGGGAATATTCTCCTCCTTATCTGAAGCCTCCGGTTATTTATTCCATTTCCCTGAGCTGGGTCAGCAGTGTTGCTGCCTATGCTTTTACAACGTGGCTAGGATCTGATGTGAGATCCCTTTCTTGGGCCAATTATTCGGGCCAGCAGTATAAGCAAGTATGAATCATGTGAAACCCAACTAAAAATAATTGTGTTTACAGTCAGTCCCTGTGTCTCAAGAGGTGATGGTCTTTCAAGCCCAGTGACATTCAGTTCACAAGTGTCTTCAAGGGCATAGTAATAATAATGATTATTATTAAAATAATAGACAAAGGTTCATATGGAGGGATCATTGTGGTCTGTAAGCCATGAGATGAGAGCCGCCCTGAATTCTAAGTCTGATTTGTTTGTGATTTCTTTACAGGGCATTTCCACATCACTTGGAATACTGGCAGACATCTTTGTTTCCATGAGCAGAAAAGATTATGAAAAGTTTAAAAACAATCCACAGATTAACTTGGTAATTATCATATGCCAAAAACATGGCTCAGACTGGCACCATCTAGGCACTGCCAATGTTATTCCTGGTGTTAAGCACTTTCTGAGGAGACTGAGGGTCAAGGAGCAGAGAATCTCCTCTTGGATTAACAGGAGAAGTCCTGGAGACAGATCCAGTGGTGTCTTGTTCAGCTTTATTATCCCAGCACCTAGCATAGAATCAGGAAACACAAGGTACTAAACATTTTTTTTAGTGAATGAGTAGAATGAATATCCTCAAAGTGATTTTGAGTCCAATTCATTTCATTTAAAATTATCACAAAATTCAGTTTCTAAATTTGGGTCATCTTGATGATAAAGGGGTACATATTTAAAACCCATCACTATCCATTCAAATCAGTTCACCCATCAGTCATTTAATCCAGGCTGTTATCATTAATAATAATGATGACTAATATTTACATATCACCTTGCAACTAAAAAAAAATGTGTATAGCCACATAAACCCAATGAGATAGACAGAGCACAATGTATCATTCCCATTTTAAAGAGAAATAGACTGAGGTTCAGAAAAACTAAGTAACATCTGCAGTTTGCACAACCAGTAAGAGAATGAGAACAGAGCCTGGGTCTCTGTCATCTGGAGCATTGGTGTTGACATTGAACTTCTCTCCAGGCAGCATTGAAATGAAGATTTTTTTTTTACAATTGCCATTTCTACTAAATACCCAAAATAACTATTTAAAACTGCAAACTTCCTTCCCAATCCAGACCTCTGTAACCCCTTCTCTACTTGGTTTTCCTCCAGAACTCTTATTATCTCAGACACTAGGCATTTTATTTGCTTTTTGTGTTGACAAATCCCTCCTCCCAATAGAAAGTAAACTCACAGCAGGCTCCCTGTTCTATGCCTCCCTGAGTCTAGAACAGTACCTGGCCTGTGCAATTATTCAATACATCTTTCTAAAATGAGTGAATGAATCCTCATTGCTGTGAAGGTCTCTTTGCCAAGAACAATGCAAAATGCCTCAATTAACCTGACTGCAAAATATAAAGAGTTCATGCAAATGAAGAACTGCCCCCATTTTAAGGGCATTTGATTCACTTACACAGGCAGACATTATAAGTATTTTCACATCCTAGGCCCTCTCTGGAGTGGAGAGGTGGAATATGGAGAGTGTGTCAACCTGGGGGAAAGGACGATCAGTACCCTGGGGTCTTTAAATCCACTTACTCTTTCTTGGCCTGTTCTAAAAGGTTTGTGATGAGAAGCAAGGGGCCCTCAGGATCCTAAAAGAAAAGTGAAGGAACTCCGCCACCTGTTTTTGCTAATGGATAAATCATCAGCCTCCACTTTGCCTCCTGTGTTCTTGCAGGGCTTGCTCAAGGAGTTTGACCACCATTTGTTGTCGGCTGCGGAAGCCTGCAAACTGGCAGCTGCCTTCAGTGCCTACACACCCCTGTTCGTGCTCACAGCTGTGGTAAATAGAGTGCAGCCCCCGCCCTAGTTCCTTTCCCTGGGGTGCTCCCCTCTGCAACCAGTGGGAGGGAAAGGTGTAGGCTTAAAGTAGGCAGTGTGCCTCATGATTGGCAGCTGTGATGAGACTCGCCATGGGAAAAAGCGCTCAGTTAGAGTGGCCACATCCTGATGGGAGCTAAATTATCCAGCCCAAGCACAGAATGTTTTCTGTTCTCGAATAGTGGTTTCCAAGCCTGACAGCACATTAGACTCACCCAAGGAGGCTCTTCAAAATGCATACTCTTGGGCTCTACCTTAGGTCCATTAAATACAAATCTATGGGACTGATATCCAGCAATCTTTCACTTTGAAGTACAATTGGTCCTCCATGTCTGTGGGTCCCAAATCTGCAGATTCAACCAACCTTGGATCAAAACTATTTATGGGAGCAAAAAGTTGAATCCATACTAAACACATGCAAACTTTTGTGTCCTTGCCATTATTCCTTAAATAATGCAGTACAGCAAGTATTTACATAGCATTTACCTTGTATTAGGTATTGTAAGTGACATAGAGATGATTTAAAGTACGTGGGAGGATGGACATAGACTATGCAAATTCTGTGTCATTTCATATAAGAGACTTGAGCAGGCACAGATTTTGGTCTCCATATGGGGTCCTGAAACCAATCCACCAATACGGAGGGATGACTCTTATTGCAAAGATGATTCTAATGCACAAATGGATTTGAAAACCTCTATTGTTTGGGCTATTGTTAAGTGAGTGATGTGTTAAAACAACCTTACTGCATAGAGAAACTTATTATGTCCATATTCCCTGTATAGATTGTTTGTTAAAACAGCAATGGCCATACTTCTGCCATCTTTAATCAAAAAGTATCAGGGCTACAGTAGGAGGCCTTTAAAGCTAATTTCTTATCCCTTCATACCAGCTAATCCCTTACCTCCCCGTCCCTTCTTCTCATTCACCAAAAAGACATCGGTCCTTAACTCAAAGTGTGCATTTGCCTCAGAAGATGTGCGGCATCTGTTTATTGTCCCATAATATTTCAAATGATTATCTTCTAGGAGGGAAAAGTTTATCCTGATGTGCTTCCAGTTTGCAACTCAGTATCTGATTCTGTGTTTGTATTTTCCACAGAATATCCGTGGCACATGCTTATTATCATATACTAGTTCTAATGACTGTCCTCTAGGAATGAAAAACTTGTATCTGTGTGAAGCCAAAGAGGCCTTTGAGATCGGCCTTCTCACCAAGAGAGATGATCAGGTAGTCACCGGAAAACAGGAACTTCATAGCTTCATCAAAGCCGCCTTCGGTCTCACCACAGTGCACCGGAGACTCCACGGAGAGACGCACGCAGTCTGTGCCGCGAGTCAGCTCTGTAATGAAGCCATGAAGAAGCTGTACACTTTCAGTACTTCCTCCAGAAGTCAGGACAGAGAATCTCTGTCTCGAGAGATCATGTCTGTTATCAGCCAGGTGAAGGATCATTTACAGGTCCAAAGCTTCTCAAATTTAGATGACAGATCTTATGTCCCAGAGAGTTTCAAGTATGGATTGAATAAACCTATCTTGCATGGACAAGTGGATTTCCATAAAATCCTTGAAACCTATTCACAGCACCACACCTCCGTGTGTGAGGTTTTTGAAAACATTTGTGGAAACAACAAAAATAAACAAAAAGACATAAAAACAGGAGTCTGTATCACTACTTTAAAAACAGAAACAAAAACCACAGATACTATGACTGCTACTCAAGACAAACCACGCTCACAAAAAGGCAAGGGTCCAGAGATACTCAGAAGGATAGGAAGGAGAAACTGGACCCATTCTGAGGCATTCCGAGTCTCCCTGGATCAAGATGTGGAGACTGAGACTGAACCGCCTGACCACAGCAATGTGGGGGGAGATGTCTGCAACAAGTCTCTGAGCAACAGCCAGAGCTCCAGTACTTGGAGCAAGTTATCAGGGCTTAGTTCTTCTTCAAGCTGGGAGGAAGTGAATTATCCTATTGATGACAGATCAGCTAGAAAAGAATCTAGCAAAGAAAAACATCTTGTGGACACCCAGTGTTCCACTGCCCCGTCTGAGGAGCTGGAGAACGGCAGGGATCACAGAGCTGTGCGGTCATTGTCTTCAGAGCTTCACAATGTTTCTCTCCAAATATCCCCAGATGACAGTTTAAAGCCTTCTCAGGGTCAACCACACAAACGCATGCCCTTAACAACCTTCTGTCCTCACAACACAACCAACACATGCTTGGTCTCTGAAGCAGGGCTATCAGAAGAAGCTCCAGAAGTTGTCCAGGAGGTCCAACTTGCAGGACCTGGCAATACTTCTGCTCACTTCCAACCCTCATGTAGTTCTGCTTCTTGGTCTTCTGATTCTGGTAGATTCAAGCACATGGCCTCATGTCCTTCAATCCAAGAAGAAGAAGACTTTGAAATAATTGATGATTTTCCAGAAACCAACTGTGACATTGAAGACAGACATGGGGAAGAAAAGGGAAAAGAACTCAATGAAAAATATGTGGGCCCTGTATTTAAAGAGAGCTTCTTCTGGGTGGACCCAGAAGGAGAAACAGAGGAAAGCGCAAAAGATATGCCTTTAGACTCTCGTGTAGTCGTGGGCAGTTCTCAGGGCCACAGTTCCATGTTAGCATGTAGCTCTTTCACTTATCAGCCTGATCAACATCCTGACTCAGAGAAGGTGGGTGGTGGCTCAGTCAGGAAGCAGGGCATTGACCCTGATGCCCCTACAGAAGATGAGGAGGGCCACCTCTTTGACAGCACAGATGTCTGCTCCTCAGGTGGACATGACTCTCCTAGACCGTGCACCATGGGACAGCCACCTGGTCAGAAGACTGAGACCCCCAGTTCCTCTGTTAACAGTAACATTCCCTTTCCTGTGCTCAGCGAGGATGGTGCCACCACAGAAGAAGGAAATGAACTGGGACACATGCTAAACTGCAGCCAGAGCTCCAGCTCATCCCTTTCATGGTGGTTGAAGTCACCTACATTTTCCAGTGGTTCTTCTGAGGGGGAAAGCTTATGGTCTTCTCTGAATTCCAGTGGAAGTTCTTCTTCTGTCTCATCGCTAGGAAAAATGAGGAAAGAAGTCCTTGAGGCTCGTACCCTGCAGCCCGATGACTTGGACAAACTCTTGGCAGGAGTGAGGCATGATTGGCTGTTTCAGAGACTGGAAAATACAGGCGTTTTTAAGCCCAGTCAACTCCAACGAGCTCACAGTAAGTGCGATCTTTTCAGTCTATACAGATGTTGGAATCACCTACTTCTGGGGCCCTCTGAAAATCTTGTTGTATAGACCACTTAAAGCTCATGACAGGGCTGAGTTGTGGCTCAGTGGTAGAGCACTTGCCTAACACATGTGAGGCGCTGGTTTCCATCCTCAGCACCACATAAAAATAAACAAAGGTATTGTGTTCATCTACAAGTAAAAAATATTTTTTAAAAAACCTCATGACAAATGTTTTATTCTTTGTTGTACTTTGTGAGTTCCACAGAGAAATGTAAACTGCAGGGGCCTCCCTCACCCTTTGTGTGACAGACCTTAATGGTGACCAAGAATAGAGATTTGCTCAAGCTTCCTTCACATGCTCGAGGTTTGCTATAAGGACACGTGAGGCAGAAAGGGAGACAGGAATTTCAGAGGCCTTAACACAGCTATCATTCAGGATTTAAAACTGCTCTGGATAGTCAATCATTCATTCAGCATCTGTCTCCTCTTTTACTTCTCTTTACCAACCAGATGATTTCTTTTTTCCTTATTCAAATTCAAGAAGAAGGAGACTGAGGCAGGAGGATCTTGAGTTCAAAGCCAGCCTCAGCAACTTAGCGAGGCCCTAAGCAACTTAGTAAAAGCCTGTCTCAAAATTAGAAGGGCTGGAGAGAGATGGTTCAGTGCTTAAGCACCCCTGGGTTCAATCCCTGATACTTAAAAAAAAAAAAAATCAAGGATAAGAGTCTTAGTTAAATATCATCTTTCTTGTGGACAGAGATTTTCACACTTGTCCACCTAAGCATTTTCTTGCCAGCCAAAGAATTGATTATGTGCCCCTTTCTCTTAGTCTCTTTGGGCCTCCATAATAAAAACTGTAAACAAAGGAGATTATAAACAACAGAATTTTATTTCTCATAGTTCTGGATCCTTGGGAATTCCCAGTGTCCTCATAAGGTGGAAGGGTCAAGGAGCCTCATTTATAAGGTCACAACCTCATGGCTTAATCACATCCCAAAAGCTCTACCTCCTAATACCATCATCTTGTGGGTTAGGATTTCAACATTAGAATTCTAAGAGGACACAGATGTTCAAACTATAGGACCCCTATGGTTGCAATTAGCAAAAACTTCTTATTAAAGTCATTTCCTACAGCAGGGACGCTGGGCTGGAGCCACCAGCAGTCAATATGTCTATCACAGCCTAAAAGAGAGACTGGGTGAAAGATAGCATGAAGGTTCTTCTTTCAGCCCAGAGAAACATAGTATATAATGCCTTTCCAATATACAGAAGAATCATTTGAATGAGGAAAAAAACTATTGTAAAGTGCATCTCAGAAGAAATAAGCTATGTTGATTACTAAATACTAGATATGAAGTAGTAGTTCTTAATCAGGGCAATGCAGTAGAATCTCCTGGAAGCTTTTTAAAACTTCATATGCCTCATCCCAGACAGCCCCATCCAGTGGGTCTGGGGAATGAATCCAACCATCAGGATGTCCTGGGAACTCCCTAATGATTTCATATAAAGCCAATGTTGAGGGCTTCTGCTTGAAAGCATTCTAATATTTTGCCCACCCATGAAGGCACCTTGAAGTCAGACTAAAATACACATCAGGTTGTTGCTAAAAAAGCAAAATTTTGCTAGTGATAGGGTTTTCCCTACTACTGTGAGATGCTGCAATTTCAGAATCACATTTCTTCTAATTAGGTAATTGCCTTATTGTTATTTTTCCCTCGTTTCATTTTGTCTTTACTTTTTACAATAAACTTAATGCATGTATCCAATACAACCTATTTCAGATGTACAGAACTGACAGTTATAAAGCAAAACTGTATATAGCATACACCCAGGCCCTCCTACCCAAGGGCTAGAACTTTATTCATTTAACTTTAACCTGCCTGTGTTTCTGTCTGTCCCCATTTATTGATCCTCCTGTGGAAATCACTGAGATAAATTTTGGTTTATCACTGTTATCTTTTTTTAACAGTACAGTTTTATATACATACCCAGACAATATGCTCTTTGGTTTTGCTTATTTTTGAGCTCATCAAAGTCCTGTCATAAAGCTTCACATACCATGTAATGTCATGGAAATTGGTTTTTTTTTTTCATTAACATTTGAGATTCATTCTTATTGCAAGGTATAACTGTAGGTCATTCACTTTCATTACAGAATATCACTTGGAGTAAATATACCTAATTTATGTATCCATTCTCCATAGACAGATGTTTCACTTTTTCTAGTTACAAGCTATTACAAATGTCACTATGAATATTCTTGCATATTCCTGCATACACCAAAGCACAAAACTTTGTCATGAGTAGGAGTCCAGAGCTAGATCACAAGGTATGCAAAAATTTATGTCAGCGAAGTGTAACTGTTTTCTACAGGAGTTGTGTCTTGCACAACATGTGAGTTCCACAGATCTTCTCTAACCCCTGGTATTATCAGGCCCAATTTTTGCAAATCTTATGGCTATACAATGAAATTAAGACTATGGTTTTAATTCATACTTGCATAGTCAGTAATGCCAGGAACATCTTCCTATTTGTTTATAAGCCCCATGTGAAATGCCTTTTTATGTTTCTTCTATTTTTTCAAAAATAGAAACTATATAACTAATCTTTTGTCAGTTGTTTGTATTGTAAATATATCTTCTCTAGTTATAGTCTGTCTCTTCACTTAAATTATTTGCATAATATAAGTCCTAAGTTTGGTTGAGTTGATTTAATCATCTTTTATTTAGGACTTGCACTTTGTGTATCGAGAGATTTGTTCCTGCCTTGTGGGGTTTTTCATACAAACATTTACAATTTCTGCTGTCTGTACTTTTTATTATTATTATTGTGTGTCAATTTATGGACAAAAACCACCATAGAGGAGAGAAGGCCCAATGTTGCAGAAACATAAGTCATAAGCTCCCTCCTTTCTTCCCTCAAGTGACCACCCTCCACGAGTATGGACAAGCATCTCACCCTTTGTTTCCATCCCGGTTTCTCATTGAGTCATCAAACCCTGGACACCATCTCCACTAGCCCAGAGTCATCCCCTTCCATACCTGTGGGTTTATCTTAAATATCTTCTCTCCCAAGTTTTCCATTCATTCTTTCATTGTCACAACCTAGACACACAGGAGGTCTTTGTTCACTGAATTTTAACTTGGATACCAAGATGTTGCATTTCTTTCTTAGAGTTCATATTGGTCTTTTCCCTAGAAGAGATACTTTCTTTCCTAGCACTGTTCTTCCTGATTTTGTTTTTTTTATTTTTATTTTTTTAGATAGGGTCTTACTAAATTGTACTAGCTGGCCTTAAATTCACCATCCTTCTGTAGCTGTCCAGGTAGCTGGGAATAAGGCACACAGCATTGAACCCAGCATTCTTCTTCCTTTCTTTAAGATGGAAACAACCCTGGCTTTTTGCTCTAATCTTTTTTTTTAAGTGGAGTTTGCATCTTTGTAGGGTGGCTACAATTTCTTAAGTAATTCCTAGACCTTCCTGACTTAAAACAAGAGAAAATAAGAATGCCGTTTTATCTGTAATCTAGAATCTCTAGAGTTGCTAGGAGCCTTTCAGGTAAAATTATTTAGTTATTTCTGTTTGTTCTGACAAAGGAAGTCAGCTCTTCTATGTAGGATTCCCAGATTGGATGAAGTTGCAAACATACCTCTTATCCCAACATGCTCTCTGGGATCTAGCTGCTTTAAAAGCCCCTCTATTTTCCATCTCTTTCATACAGAAACTCTGATCTTATCTTAATCATTTGCCTTCCCAAGCAAGAGATTTTGCAAATCAAAGGCTATTCATTCTCGAATAGCCTGGTCCCAGCCTATGAGAATTGGACCCAAAGTCCCATGAAAGAAAGTACCACCAAAGAAAGAGGCAGACAGATCCAGGGTTTAACAGAATGCAAATTACTGGGAGCTTATTTACAAAAGCATGGTTCTGGGCAACAGTAAACCAGTGGATCCTCACAATTTAGGGCAGAAGAGTTGTGCTTATGAAGTGTTCAGGAAAGGAGACTTCATCCCACCTGGTTTCTCTCAAGCTGATATCAAAAATTCCTGGCATTGAGAACACCAAGGTCCTGTCATAAAGCTCCACATACCACTGTGAGAATAGTTTCACTTATTTCCAGTGTGCTGGGAAGCCTCCCAGGGTTGCTCAGGGGCAATCTTGACAATTACCAAGGTGCCTACAGTCTGCTCAAGCTGAATGCCTACACCACTCTTCACTGCAAAATGTGAAGTGTTACCTTTTTATAGTACTTCACTAACTTTTTAATAGTATCCATAATTTGAAAAGAGGCAAAAATTTGGGAGACAAAAAAGTTTAAAAAAATTGAAGATTTCTGATGGGTTGCTTTAGGACTCATGTTTCTTCAACTTTATTCATGATTTGTAACATTCTTTTAAAACTTAGCTCTACTCTCTTCTTATCTCTTTTCCAGATGCTCTTTTGTTAAAATATTCCAAGAAGTCTGAACTGTGGACAGCCCAGGAAACTGCTGTGTATTTGGGAGATTACCTAAATGTGAAGAAGAAAGGCAAGCAAAGAAATGCCTTTTGGGTTCATTATCTCCATCAGGAAGAAACTCTGGGAAGGTATAACTGAAAAAAAAAAAAATACCTATGTCACCAATGTAAAATGGGCTCATCTTCCCATTCTGCTAAGTACTCATTCATGAGATTTTTGAAAGGGCTGGGAAAATGGCCAAAATGTATGTTTTCAGATTTCTACCCTTTTCTCTTTTTATCACTAGTTAGTTAATGGCAGCTACCATTATTGAAGATCATGTTATATCAGCCATTTTGCTGGATGTCCTATATTCATCATCTCAAATTCACTGGGAAACATTTTTAGGCCCACTATGCAGATAAGAAAAATGGAGTTCCTGGTCATATGGTAGGCCAGAGAGCCTTACTCACTAAAAATGCTGGCAAAGAGGCTAAACTGTGGAAACCACACTTTTAAATAAGTAGGTGAGTCTACAGAAAGAAAAAAAAAAGGCAGGAAGATTCTCTATCCTCTGGCCAGGAAAGAAGCATGTCCAGGGATGTAAGTATTCACTGGACCATTTAGGTACCCTCTATAGGAGTTTGGGGCAGGGTGGGATGGGGGACAGTTAGAGACAAAAGATATACACAAAGAATAGTGAGTTTAGAGACCACTCATGGAAAGCAGGAATTCAGTGGCGGCACTTTCTCCATGGAATGATTGTCTCTTTCTTATTTTTTTCCATTTTTGGTACTGGGGATTGAACCAGGGGTACTCTACCACAGGGCTACACCCTGAGTCCTTTTTATTTTTCGTTTTGACATAGGGTCTCACTAAATTATTGAGGTGGCCTCAAACTTGTAATCCTCCTGCCTCAGCCTCCTAAGCTACTGGGATTACAGGTGTGTGCTACCACTAGCAGCTTTCAGAAATATTATCTTTTAAAAATTCCACTCCTGCTGCATGCAGGGGTACATGCCTGTAATTCCAGCAACTCCAGAGGCTGAGGCATACATGCTGATGAGGATCACAAGTTTGAGGCAAGCCTCAACAACTTAGCAAGACCCTAAGTAACTTAGTGAGATCCTTATCAAAATAAAAAAATGCTCAGTGGTTAAGTGCCCTTGGGTTCAATCCCTAGTACCAGAAAACAAAAAATAAACAACAAAAGTATGCACTCCACTTCACTGAGGAAAGTGTCTAAAAAAATTTTCTACTTGGCCTTAGTTATTTTTTTGTTCATAATATTTTTATACCTTTATTTTCTTTATTTATATGTGCTGTATGTAGCTTATTTATATGTGCTGTATGTAGCTTAGTGCCAAGCACTCTACCACTAAGCTACATACAGCCTCAGTGCTGGCCTTAGTTCTTGATGAAAACTTCAAACAGAACCTCATCTGAAAAATTAGTTCATTGATTTTAAGGCCTAACTTTATACTATTTATATTCTTAAATGACCTATAAGCCAAAACTTTAAAAAAAATTTGTCTTATTCTTTATTTATCTAAATCCAAATAATGTAAGAAATAAAATGGGAAAAGCCGAGTGCAGTGGTGCACACCTGTAATCCTAGTGGCTCAGGAGGCTGAGGCAGGAGGATTGCAAGTTCAAAGCCAGCCTCAGCAAATTAGCAAAGCTATAAGCAACTCAGTGAGACTCTGTCTTTAAATAAACTACATAATAGGCCTGGGATGTGGCTGAGTGGTAGAGCACCCCTGGGTTAATCCCCAGTCCAAACCAAAAAAAAAAAAAAAAAAGAAAAGAAAAGAAAAGGGGAAAGAGAAGAGACACAGAAAGAAAGAGAGAAAGAAATAAGTTGAATGCCTCTTTAAACAGTAAAAGTTGAAAATTCTTGAAAAGTTGACTATTATAACAGTAAACATGCAAATGCACTTAACCAGGTACCAGGCCCTATTTGAAGTGGTTCACGGACTGATTCAGTTAATCCTCCAAAAACCTAATGAGGTAAATGCTATTATTGTCCCCATTTTATACATGAAGGAACTGAGGCACAAAGATGTTTAAAAACTTACCCAAAGTCACATATGTAAGCGGTCAATAAAGGCATTTTAAGCTGAACTGTATCCTGCAAACACCTTAAAAATCATATGTTGAAGTTCCCAGTACTCAGACTGTAAATCAAGTCATTTCAGAGGCAGTTAAGATGAGGCCACACTGGGTGAGCCCCTAACCCAGTGTAATTGGTTTTTTTAAAAAGGAAGACATCTGGAGATAGGTGCACACACAGAGAATACCACGTGAAAATTATAGTATGCAGCCACAAGGCAAGGAACTTCCAGAAACGATGAGGGGGGCCTGGAACAGATCCTTCCTTATTGCCTTCAGAGGGAGCATGATCCTACTGGCACTTTGACTTTGGACTCCTAGGCTCCAGAACTGTGAGAAAATCAAGTTCTACTGGTTAAGCCACTTAGTTTGTGTACCTTGTTACATCATTCTTAGGAAACTAATGTACCCATATATATCCTAGGAGGATCTAAGATGAGAAATAAATTGAGACTAAGAGACGTGGAGAATGGAATGAGAAGGTTTAATATGCACCTGATCAGAAGGAGATAACAGAGCCAATAGAACAGAAGCAATGTTTGATTAGAAAATTTCTGGTAATTTTCCAGAATTCAAAAAACACTAATCTTCAAATACAAGAATCACAATTAATCTCAAGGAGTATAGAAACAGAAACAAGAAGGAAGGAAGAAAGAAATGAAGGCAAGCAATCATAAATCTACTTCTGCATAATAGTCCAACTTCAGAATCCCAAGGACAGATCTGGAATGTAGAACATTCCAGTGGTAGAACACCTTTCTAGTATCCATAAGGCCCTGGGTTCAATCCCCAGCACTGAAAAAAAAATTAAATAAATTTCAGAATACCAAGGACAAAAAAAAAAAAAAAAAAAAAAAAAAATTAAAAAACACAAAAAAAAAAAAAAAAAAAAAAAGACTCTTAAAAGCAGTATATACTGGGGCGGAGGGCAGGGGGAAATGGAGTACATACAAAGAAATGTCAATTAGATATACATCTGATTTTGCACCAGCAACAATAGAAGTCAGGAACTATGGAAGTCATGCACTTGAAACTGTCTTTCATGGAAGGCAAAATAAAGACATTTGCAAATTAAAAGAAAAGTGACTGTGAGAGTCTACACTAATTCTCACCAAAGAGAAATGATTCCAATAAAATGGTTCAGAGTCCAAATGGAAGGAAGGAATGATTCTGTGCTCCCAGATTGGTGATCCCACACCTAGAGTTGGAGGTCCCCTGGCAGAATATTCAGGAAATACTTCAGTACTGGCACCCATAGGTTTTACCCCTTTGTGCACATCTCTATCCACAGTCACAAAGCAAAATTCTGAATTGCTCCAGATCTTTTGCCCATCTCGGGTTCTGTCTAGAGCAGAACTACATGAAGTACTGGACTACGGTGCTATGACCACTGCTCCTCTTTGGGCTGCTTTCTCGTGTCATGAAGGCTGCTCTTCTGCAGCCTCCTGTCAGAGATGTTTCCTGATCCTCAGAAGTTTGAATGGCCCAAACTGTTGCTTCCTTAGATTCCATTATATATTGGATTCAGAAATTTCTGGAGAGTTTACTCTCATTGAGGTCTATGATTCTGACAACTTCCTTTGTTTTTTAGAGGTCATTCCAGACACATGTGAAATGGCTCATAAATCCACATCAGCTGATAGCGTGTGTAAGCTACAGTAAAATGTAGTGCTTACTGTTTTACTTAATCATTTACTGACTTGTACCTTTTTTCTTCAACTGTGATGTGAGCCCTGGAAGATCTACAAACCATGTCTCACACTTTCAAAGCACTTAGGACTAGCATAATGTTGTGAATGTAATAGGTGTTGATAACCAGTAAGTGTTCATTGGGATGAAATACGCATACAAGAAAGGGATAGAGAGAGGCTTTGAATTGAATAATTGGTGTGTATAAGGCCACACTGCAGGTACTGAAAGATCTGGCTCCAGAATCTAGACAACTTCCCCACCTACCATGTTGAATACCTTGGCTTACAAAAGAATCAGAAGACCCCCATTAAGTGGACACCTTTTATAATTGGTATTATTCTGGGTATTATTCTAGCATTGCTCAGGTGGTTCTGACAAAAGCATTTGAATAACAAAGTAAGTCAAGATAATTAATATTGACCAGATAAGAGAGAAAAAGTAATATTTTTGAGATCTCTTTTTAATCTTCTCAATTTTATTCTGTAGTAAAAAATATCACTTTACTATGTTATGTGGATTTTCTCTATTCATAGATATGTTGGGAAAGAATATAAAGAGCAGAAGGGGCTCTGGCACCACTTCATTGATGTGGAGCGGCAGATGACTGCACAGTACTACGTGACAGAGTTTAACAAGAGACTCTATGAACAAAAGATCCCAACACAGATATTCTACATCCCCTCCACAATATTACTGGTAAGGTTTTTAAGAGAAAGGGTTGTGTTAAACAGACCTATAAATACATATTATGTTAGCCAGGTGCAGTGGTACATTGCATGGCTGTAATCCCAGCTACTTGGGAAGCTGAAGCAGCAGGTGATCTCAAGTTCCAGGCCAGCCTGATCAACTTGGCAAGTCCCTGTCTCAAAATAAAACAAAAAGGGGGCTAGGGTTGTGGCTCAGTGGTAGAGCGTTCAACTGGCACGTGTGAGGTTCGATCCTCAGCACCACATAAAAATAAATAAATAAAATGTACTGGGCAGGGGATGTGGCTCAAGCGGTAGTGCGCTCGCCTGGCATGTGTGCGACCTGGGTTCGATCTTCAGCACCACATACAAACAAAGATGTTTTGTCCACCGAAAACTAAAACTAAAAATATTTTAAAATTCTCTCTCTCTCTCTCTCTCTCTCTCTCTCAAAAAAAAAAAAATGTACTGTGTCCATCTACAACTAAAGAAAACAGGCAGGGAGCGGGAAGTGGGGGGGTGAGGGGGTGAGGGGAAGGGCTGGATGTAGATCAGTGTTAGAGCACTCACCTAGCATGTGTTAAGTCCTGGGTTCAATCCCCAGTACCACAAAAAATAATAATAATAATAATTTTGATTTTTATTGCCAATCTGTCTACTTCTACCATGGTTCAGGTAAAAATCCAATAAACTCAGATTTCTAGAATCCTTCGTCTGTTTCATCAATTTCATGTTCTTAGACAGATATGTAAGAAATGTGACCCTCCATCCCCATCAGTGCATCATTTAGATCTTCCAAGTCACATTTGTATATCTGTTGATCCTGGTATCTGATCCCTCATGGTCAAGGTAGCATTTTTAGTAGACTTTCTTGTTGTACTGTCTCTTACTTTCAGAGAAAGAAGAGACCCTAGATATCATACCTAATGAGTTATCCCCTCAACACTACTCATAAATCCCATTTTACTTCTGTTTGTCCCCACCTCCTTCAACCAACTGATATCAAATTATAGCATAAACATCTTTATTTTTAAAAAAATAATTATCCTCCTTTTGATTTAATTTAAATAATTGTGAAAGCTATTAGACTTGGCCCAAGTCTGTCTTCCTCTGTTTTCTGCCCATGGCTGTACCTTCTGGGGCCATTGGGATAACTCTCTTTTCACTAAATAGTCCTTGAAATAGATAAAGGTGACCAGCATAATGGAGCAAGCTTTAATCCCACTATTCAGGAGGTTGAGGCAGGAGGATCAGAAATTTAGGGCCAATCTGGACAGCTGAGAAAGACCCTGTCTCAAAATAAATTTTAAGAAAGGCTGGGAATGTATCTCAGAGGCAGAGCACTTGCCTAGCATGGGCAAGGTCCTGGGCTCAATGCCCAGCATTGCAAAAATTAATTAATTAATTAATTAAGGTAAATATCCCTACTGAGTTTTCTCTCTCTCTCTCTCTCTTTTTTTTCAGTTGGCAGTGGACCTTTATTTTTATTTTTTATGTGGTGATGAGTATCGAACCCAGTGCCTTACACATACTAGGCAGGTACTCTACCACTGAGCCACAACTCCAGCCCCTGAGTTTTCTCTTCTTCGAATATAGAATATCCTCCTCCCTAAATATATTAGATTCTTAATACATTCATACTTACCATGATTTTTTTTCCATTTTGCCAGAGATATTTTTAACCTCTTTTATTGTTCTTAATAATTATAGCCATCGTCCAATTTTCACCATCTTTAAGTCACATACTGTACCAGGCATTTTGCAAACATTAACCTTTAAAACAACTCTGCAAAGTAGATCACATCACTCAGAGATGACCGAATTGATATTCCAACCCAGAGTCCCATAGCATGATCTGTTCTTATACCCTGGCAAGCTAGCCCCAAGGGTAGGTCACTTCATGATCTAATTTTTTTTTTCAAGTAATCCCAGCTATTCAGGAGGTTGAGGCAGGAGGATCAGAAACTTAGGGCCAATTTATTTATTGGTACCAGAGATTGAACTCAGGGGCATTCTACCACTGAGCGATATCCACAGCCCTGTTTTGTATTTTATTTAGAGACAGGGTCTCACTGAGTTGCTTAGCACCTCACCATTGCTGAGGCTGGCTTTGAACTCACGATCCTCCTGTCTCAGCCTCCAGAGCTGCTGGGATTATAGGTGTGTGCCAATGCACCTGGCTCTTCATGGTCTAATTTTTAAGTGAGCACTTTACTATATGAACAATAATAAATTTAGGTTCTGTTTTATACTACATACAATGCTGAGCACTTAACCACATTTTATCATGTAATCTTTTTAACAAAACTAAAAGGTAGTTATTGAATGTTAATAGTATACACTTTAGAGGTGTGGAGACTGAGGTCTAGAGAAGAAAAGTAACAAAATCCAAACTGAGAGCTATCCACCTCCAGAGGCCATGGCCTTAACCATACTGCCTCTGCTTCTATTTTTCAGATTTTAGAAGGCAAGACAATAAAGGGATGTATCAGTGTGGAGCCTTATATCCTGGGAGAATTTGTAAAATTATCAAATAATGCCAAAGTTGTGAAAACAGAATACAAAGCCACGGAATATGGCTTGGCTTATGGCCATTTTTCTTATGAGTTTTCTAATCATAAAGATGTTGTGGTTGATTTACAAGGTATGAGAAACTGGGAATAATGTTTTATTCCAAATATTACTTGCTTGTGAATGTAAGTTTTTGAAAGTTTTCCCTAATCATTTTAAGTAGATTATTCAGTATATAGGACATTATTTGGAATTAATTCATTTTACTATGTGTAGTAAATGATTCTTGAAAGAACACAATGTATGATACTTCTATAAGTGTATATTGTATCACATAATCAATGAGGAGGTCTGACTCATATTTGTTAGTTTTAATTCCAGGGCAAAATCCAGAACAGTATTTTTTTTACTTCACTCAAGCAGATTTGCACAATGTAGATTTCTTATTGATTTTTTTCACATGTCAAAATCATTTTTCCATTTTTATTTTCTCCAGCTCTTTACCCTTACTAAAAGGGTAGTGTGGAGTATCATAATTGGGACCATTATGGAAGAGAAAGCTGTGTGTACTTACATCTGACTTCTTTTAAAATCTGTACTAATGTATTTATTTGTCTGGTATTGCACTCATCAGAGGTCTTATTCTACACTTAGTGTAAATGGCAAATGTGATTTATAGTTCATAACCCACTTGAATCAAAGTGTGAAATATGATATATCAAGAACTATGTAATGTTTTGAACAACCAACAATAAAAAATTTTTAAAAAATTATTTTGGTAATGCCCACATGACCACCTCAAGACCTTCCCTATTCTATCTCCACATGATTTCTTACTTTGTCATATTAAATGTTTTAATTATTTGTAGTTTATCAATCTGTCCTCCTTCACGAGATTGCTCGCTCAGTGAATACAAAGATTGTTAGCTTGTTCTCTGCCATATCCCCAGTTTCTAAAAACGATGTTTCACACAGAGTTTTCACTCAGTGAATATCTGTGGCCTAGACAGATGACTACATGAATCAATGACTAAGGCACTAAAGAAGCTTCCAAGTCATCAAAGTAAAATGCGATATTGTGATTGTCATCATTATTCTAAGTGTTTTATGTTGCTCTCTAATGCCTAGAAATTGGTGATCTCATATGTCAACTTTAACAAAAATAATTATGCAATATTCAATTCTTCTTAAGCCAAGCATTGGATTATGCAGCCCAGACTCCTTAGCAAAAACTTACTAACATAAACCATAAGATGACCAAATTTTAAAAGCACCTCTTTAAGCATTTGTGTGTGTATATGTTTTTCCCCTAAAATGTTTGATTGGTATTTGTAGGGAATTTAATACTCAGATGCATCCATTTCTCTTTTAGGTTGGGTGACTGGTAATGGAAAAGGACTCATCTACCTCACAGATCCCCAAATTCACTCTGTTGATCGGAAAAATGTCACTACCAATTTTGGAAAGAGAGGAATTTTTTACTTCTTTAATGACCAGCATGTGAAATGTAATGAAATATGCCACCGTCTTTCTTTGACTAGACCTTCAATGGGGAAACTAAACAAGTCATAGACTGTGGATTGGCAAAGAGACAGACCTCTGTACTCACCAACATCAACTTCTCCTCTCCATCTAGGCAACAGAACATGGCACAGCCCCTCTCCTTGAGGCTAGTTGTGGCCAATGGTTTGTGAGAGGAACTGATGAGTATCACTTTCAGGCCTAGATTTAATTCTAGTACAATATCCTTCAGGGTTTCCTTTCTCTGTCACAGTTACCAAGAATGTGTCAGGAGGTAGCTACTTATGAACACAGGTCAGAAACAAAACACTGCCAAGAAATAAATTTGGTGCTTAAACCATTGAGATTTTGGAGCTTGCTATCACTGTCTGTTGAGACTGACACTATTGACTTTTTTCCTATTGATTTAGGCATGTTATATATGTTTAAAAATATTCAGGGCTTTGTGATATGAATTCAACATTTTGTTTGTATTTTGACATTTGACTTTGCATAAAACATTTGTCTGCAATTTTTTGTTAATGGTTGAATTTATCAATCTTTTCTTTGATAATTTCTTGGCTATAGATGATACTTAGAACTTTCTTATACTCTGAGTTTCTTTCCTTTTAATTGCCCATGTTTTCTTCTAGTGTATTAATAATCTGTGAAAGATATGACAGAGAATGGTAGATTATCATGGCCACCACAGTCCCCCCCTTTGCCCTACACAGATCTATGTTTTTACTCAGGTCTAGGCTGCAGCTTTTCCATGGTCTCACTGAAAGAAATATATAGAAGGGACACTGGTAAGATAAAACGATTCCATTTCACTTCCTCTCTGGGACCATAACTAGTGCTCACTCTCTCCCTCCTCCACTATTCAATCTAAGTTTCCCTCAGCCTTAACTACTATATCAGAAAGTGCGGATGCCTTACCTCATGGTGAGACTCTCTATAGATGGAGAGGTTGGGTACTTATTCTTCTCAGTTTGGGGTTGCTGCCCCTGTCTCTTCACAATTGCAGTTGGAACAAGGCAGATCTGATCTGCTCCAGGGAGCACTCTGACTGGCACTCCCATCTTCCACCCGGCTGGGTCTACCAGTGTTCCTGGGGAAGCCATGTTTTCCCTTGTATTCTCAGCCCACAGCCACGCATGGCAAGGATACTAGTCTCAAAATTCATCTAACAGAGGACTCTGGCACAAAACCTTCCTATTGACTTGATAAAACTTTCTTATTACTGCTGTGGTACAAGATTCCCCTTGCCCTATCCTCCTTTCTTTGTCCTCTCTTTTCACAGGTGTTGAGCTTGTTGCAGTCTTCTTGCCAACTCTAATGCCATCCTATTGGTTCTCTGTGATCATTTCACCCAAAAAATATCTTACATGTCTAATCTTTCCCTGGCATATACTTCTTGGAGAACATAAACTAATACAAGTTTATTTTTTAAAGTTATATATATATATATATATATATATATATATATATATATATATAATATGTATACATATATATTATATGGATATGTGTGTATACATATATATTCATTAATCTCATTATATATATTCATTCATCCTATTAACAAAATAAAGGGAGGAAATAATAATTTCAGCAGATGCAGAGAAGTAATTTAATAAAATTCTAGATCATCTCATGTTAAAAAAAAATAACTTAAAACTAGGCATAAAGGAAAACTTTCTGGGTCTGATAAAGGGTTTTTTTAAACTTGAAAAGAAAAGCAGCAATATTATCATTTATAGTGAAGCAATTTAACCTTTCCATTTGAGAAGGGGAACAAAAATTTTCCCACTATCCCAACTCTATTCAGTATTATAGAGGAATTCCAACTAATAAACATAATAGAAGAAGTGATAGAAGAAGAAAATCACAACTTTGCATCCTTTTAATGAAATAATTGATCTGGACAAAACATTTTAATAACTTCTAATATTATTGGGAGAAAGGTTGAAGAAGAACTTTATAATAGAGTTATTAGGCTAACACTACTTACATCTCAAGTCAATTTTTTTTTAAAGAAGGAAAACATCTTTGGACACTATTTTTATATTTACTTTATTTTATTAAGGCATATTATTTGTGCATATTAATGGAGTTTGGTGTGATAATTCCATACACGCATATAGCATGCCTTAATCAAATCCACCCACCCTTTTTCCATTGTCACACACACACACACACACACACACACACATACATTTCCCAATCTCTAGTAATCACTAGTCTACTTTCAGATTGATATTCTTTCAGCTTCCACATATGAAAGAGAACATGTGTTACCTGTCTTCCTGTGTTCGCTTTATTCCATTTAACGTAATGTCCTCCATCCATTTTACTGCAAATGACAGAATTTAATTCTTCTTTATGACTAAATAATACTCCATTGCATATATCATCAATCCAATCACTAATAGTGGAATAACAAGTCAGTGACAAAATAACATTTGGGGAACAGTTGTGGATTTTTAATATGTGTTTGATGTTAGATAAAATTGGTAAAGTAATATCTTAAATACTCAAGCCAGAGATAGGGATGTATTTCAGTGGCAGAGCCCTTGTCTTGTACAAAGTCTTGGGTTCAATCTTCAGTACTCTAAAAATAAAATAAAATACTCATGCCAAAGCAAAAAAAAAAAAAAATAGGGCTAGAATTCAATTTTTGTGATGATGTGGAACCAGTGTTATGGTCTGGATGTGAGGTGTCCCCCAAAAGGTCATATATGAGACAATGAAGAAGATTCAGAGGAGAAATTATTGGGCTGTGAATCTTAACCCAATCAGTGAATTAATCATCTGATGGGATTAATTGAGTGTTAATTAAGGCAGATTGGGTATGGCTGGAGGAGGTGGCGCATTGGGGTGTGTGGATATATATTTGTATTTGGCAAGTGGAGATCTCTCTCTCTCTACTTCCTGATCCCTCATGTGAACTGTTTCCCTGTGCCACACTCTTCCTCCATGATGTTCAGCCTCACCTTCAGCCCCAAGGAATGGAACTGACTGTCTATGGACAGAGACCTTTGAAACTGTGAGCCCCCCCCCCCACCCTGCCCCAAAATAAACTTTCCTCCTCTACAATTGTTCTGATCAGATCTTCTAGTCATGAGGTGAAAAAGCTGTCTAAAACAACTGGGAAAATGCATACTTGAGAATTCATTTTACATGTTTTTCTGCTTCTATACATATTTCTAAGTCTTCATTAATTTTTTTCTTAAATATAAGGTAATAGGGAAAAAAAGCAAGTAAATCTTAAGAACAAAGAGAGATGATGAAAAATCAAGATCATATCAAACAAATTTGTCAGGAAAGAAATAAGGAGAAGTGGTCAACAATGTAAAATTCTATAGAAAAGTTAGAGAATTTTTCTAACAAGAACTGAAGACAGAGAAAAGAGGTTGCTGACAAAGCAGGTAGAGGCCATTAATTGACAGAGTGATTTTTCAGATGCCGTAGAACAGAAATCAGCAAAGTAGTCCATGGGCCAAACACACTATGAAAAGTCATCTGTTTTTATAAATGAAGTTTTATTGGAACACAGTTTACCTTTGATTGCTTTTGTGTTACAATAGCAGAGTGCAGTGGTTGTGACCTAGGCTCCAAGTGAAAACTATTTTTTCTTTGGAGGAACATAAAAAGTTCATCAATCCCCATTGAAGCAGATAAAATGAGGGGGAAAAAACAGGATTTTATATTTACAAAAGAATCTGGATATTTATTTATTTACTTATTTATTTATTTGACACTAGGCTTTGAACCCAAGGGCACTGGGTTACCACTGACCTACATCCCCGATCCTATTTATTTATTTATTTAGAGATAGAGTCTAAACTGCTGAGGCTGGCCTCAAATTTGCAATCTTCCTGCCTCGGCCTCCTGAGTCACTGGGGTTATAAATGTGTACCACCACGCATGACTAGGAGTATAGATATTTCTTAGCCACATCCACAAAAGAACACCAAAAAAAAAAAAAAAAAAAACACACAAAAGAACAATCATGGGTAAAGAAGTTAGAAATTGGATGTGATAGAGACATAAATTGATGGAAAGCACATATAAGAACATGCTTCTCTGTGAAGGCAAAAAGCTTAGATCTCCATCTGAAGTCCCTGCACTAGGGAGGCTGGAAACTGAGCCAGGAGGATGGCTTGAGCCTGGGATTTCAAGGCCAGTCAGGGTCACCAAGTCAGACCTATAGCTAAAAAAAAAACCAACTAGGATTTCTGCTAAGTCAGATGAGACTGACAGAGTCAGGAATATAAGGAAATAAAAGCTTTGTAGCAGTGCACATCTCTGTATTATAAAGAACAGAAATAGAGAATTTTTTAAAAAATCTCTTTACATTTGTATCTATGCAAATTCCCATCATCTTAAGAAATTAAATGTTGTTGAAGCCTCCAACCCTGATCTACCCCTTCCTCTATTCAAGAGGAGACCACGGCCCAGACATTGTGGGTCATCAATCCTCTTCATGATATTACATGATGTCACTTTTTATTTTATTTAATGTTATATATTTATATATCATATAAAGTAACAATAAATAACCAGTATTTTTAAATATTCTTAATAAAAAATCAAAAGTATTTTAAGCTTCATGTAAGTATTAAAAGGCCAACTGGGTTTTTTTTCTCTCAACATCAAAAATTTATTAAAATAGAGAAAACTTTTCTTCCAATACAGAAAATATAAATAATTGCCCTTTGGAGTGAGTTTATTGAGTGTTAGGATGTTTAATTTTTACTTTATGGGGAAAAATTCTGTCGTGATACAATAGCATTTTCACCTTCTTAGTTCTTCCAACATAGTATATATATATATATATATATATATATATTATTCTTAGTCTTACCTTTAATATCATATAGACACAAGCCACTGATATTATTTGTCCTTCAACACCAGGGATGTCATAAATTCAATTTATAACATGTAGAGTCAATATTCTATTTTTAATCATTTTTAATTTAATTTTTTAGTTAGCAATATAATTTTGTGGGATTTCTATTTTTCTATTTATGTTTATTTGTTTTCATTAGCTATATATGACATTAGAATGCACTTTGATACCTCAAAAAGCCACATTATTTTCTAAAAAATGAAAAACACAGGCATTTAAATTTATAACTCAATAGAAAAGTTAAACTGTGGATTAGGCATAGTTCAACAAATAACTGTTGAAGTAAAATTTAAAAATGAATCAAAAATGCAGCACAAAGAAAAAGGGATGTGTTAAGGTCTGTAAACAAGTCTGGATGGCGCCTGGCATTTTGCCAGAGGGAGTGGTTTGTGAAGTAATGCCAGCGAGCCATTAAGTGTGGAGATTTCTTATTGGTTGACTGCTGTATCGAGTTTATGTTAATTAGATAAGCTGTGTGGAATGTATAAATACCGCTCCTGTCCTACAATAAACGGCTCCCACTCCTGCTGTATCAATCTGCACAAGTTCCTCGTCACCCCCCGGTTATTTTGCTGCAGCCAGACTGCGGCAGGTATGGAAAATACAAAAGAGAG